TGGTATTCCATTCATCTATGAGTTAGATGAAAACTTTAAACCTGTTGTATCTATGAAATTCTTAGGTGATGAAGAAACTGTAAAAGCTGCAATGGCTGCGGTTGCTGCTCAAGGAAAAGCTAAGTAAAATTCAAGATGTTAATTGCGATCTTTATTATATATGTACAAACATAAAGTACAGATTTCTAGTTTTGTTAAAAAATGATTTAAATTATTGAAAGACACTTAAATATATATTTCCAAAAATATTTACAACAGAAGAAAAATAGAAAAATAACAGAAGTTATTATACATTGTATTATTTTCAGTGATGTTACAAGTTCTACATATATGTTGTAATTTATTCGAACAAAAATATTTATTGAAAATCATAAAATATAAAATTATTAAAACATATTAAATGTAATTATTTTTCCTTGAGATTCCAGCTAATTAATATAAATATATGAATGTATAAAATAAAAATTAATTTTTAAATTTTAAATTTAAAATAAATGATAAATATAAAATAAATGATAAAATATAATAAAACGATATACATATAATAAAATCATAAAGACGTAAAAGCGCCACCTGTAACATAATAAATGGATGACAGTACATACTTAAGTTACGTGTTATGTGCAAATTTACTATCTCAAACATATTGAATAAATATATTGAATTCTTGATATTTTTCGTACCAAATGACGTAATTTTTATCTTTCACAAATATTAGTCGTCACTCTTTAATATAAGAAAACAAACAACAACTCTAACCTAAATGTTACAAGAAAGGCTGGTATTTATTTTCTAATATTGTTGCACTCAGAAAGCTTCATCATCTAGGGATGAATCGCGTCGATTTGAAAGTGGTTTTACTGGGTAACGCAGCTGTAGGAAAAACAAGTCTCGTAGAACGTTTCGTAAATGAAAGGTTTAATGAAAGTCTGTCTTATCAAAACGTAAGTGCATACGCAACAGAGTTTATTATTATTTATTAATTTGTTTTATTGATATTTGCACAATACAATAGTTCGATTTTTTTTATATTTCTTTTATCATTTAATATGATATATAAAACAAATAAAAAGTTTTGTTATGTATCGAATTTCTCTATAAAATTACAGAAACCTGTTACTTATATTGTTTTGTCAATTGTATAATTCAGATTGGGGTGATTAGGGATAATACTGATTTAGGCTGTCTTATTTCTCTTAGTCCGCGAAGTGGAAGGAATATTGTAAAATAAAGTTATTAAGATTTACACTGAGAATCATCTAAGAGATGCATCATAAAACAAATTAACCCAGTTCCACTTTCCTTAGACTATAGGCGCTGCGTTTGCAGCTAAGCAAATGCAAGTCAATGGGAAAAGGCTTATCATGGGGATATGGGACACAGCAGGCAGTGAAAAGTAAATGATTTTAAAAAATAAAGAGTTTAAAAACATTAATAATCATAAATTATGTATTTTTAGATATGATGCCATGAGTAGGATATATTACCGTGGGGCAAAGGCTGCTATTATCTGTTATGATATCACAAAATCGAATACATTTCAAAGAGCAAAATTCTGGATAAGAGAGCTTAGAACAGTTGAAGAAGGATGTAAAATATACATTTGTGCAACGAAAAATGATATTTTAAAGCACGGTGCAGTTCCATCTCCTGATATAAATGTTGTAGAAACATATGCTGCTGGCATTCAAGCTAAATTTTTTACAACATCAAGTAAAACTGGAGAGAATGTTGGTAAGGATTAATATTATACATTCTTATTAATATTATGACATTCAATATTTATTAAGTTAATTTTATAGCTAAGTTGTTTAATGAAATTGCACAAGATTTTATGTCTGATCCAAATAATGTACAAAAAGTCGAAGAGGTAATTGATATAAGTAATGAGTCCAAAGGAACATATTGTTGTCAATAAATATAACAGTATCATTAAAAATTATCATATTTTTCTTGTCTGTTATATTTTATATTATTTTGTACAAGTGAATATCACAAATGTAAATTGATATGTAGCATGCTATAACGACATATTGTTATCTGTAAATGCAAAGAAAATTTTCACGTTTAAAGATTATTTTTAAATATATTTCATATTTTATATTTCTTTGTGCTCGTTATTTTTTCTTTGAAATGTGCATACCAACGTTTATTTAAATATATTATGGCATGAAAATATACTTTTTAATTTAATTATTTTAATTCAAATACAAAATTTATGAATTAGAGTATACCTTTCTATTAACAATAGTTATAACATAAATACAATTATTTTTTCATTTTGTACTTTTTTACGACATAAACAGAAGTCAATGTAACAAATCTTCATTTTTTCTAAAATCTGTAACCAAAATTTTTTTTAATTTTTTTATATTGTATTATCAATGAAAGATTAATATGAAATATTTTATTTAATAAAATTACTATCAATTTTAAATAAAATTACCTTCTGTCTGAATTTTTTTGTTATTTTAACCATATGATAATACCAGCTGACGAGATATTAGCCATGACTTATATTTATAAATTTATCTTTTGTGAAATTATGGTGAGAAAACTATAGTACAAATTTCTTTAACTTTTTCATAAACACCAAAAAATACGAATCCACTAATTGTGAAACCACCAACTCTTGGTACAAATCCTGCAAAAAGTCTAAAAATGTTTATTAATTATTGTTTGTGTAAGTTAAAAAAAATTGATAATGGAAAGGCACATTTGTTATATACCCTTTAAAACCATGATCATGGTAAACTTTATTTAACATCACGGATATTTTTATCTCATCTTTCCCTGCCGTCACATTTGACAGCATTATTCTAGTTTTTGCAACGTCTAAAGGTGTTGTAAGAGCCGCAGATATAGCAACTATAATAATAAAGATATTTAATATAATGTTTATACATATTGGTGATTTAATAAAGTCTTATTTTTTCTTTTTACCTGACACCGATCCGCAGATAGCGCTCTCTACGGACGTGCATTCACGTTTTACGTTTTTTTTCCAATAAAGTTTAAAATACTCCCAGAGTGGCATCTGTATTAAACCGAACGGCAAATCTCTTATAACAGTACTTCCGTAGCCACGATATAAAGCACTCAATGGTAATTTATGGGCATCACTTAAAAGCGCCTGTCTTCTTTGTTTCACTACTTCTACTGGGACTCGAATAAGACATGCAACCTATTAGTAACAACTCAACATTTTTAAATAATACAAAGTAGTTGTTAATTGTACATTTAAAAATAGAAAGGAGAGAAAAGAATTGTTTATATAGTATGGTTGTTACAGTTAATCCAAAAATATATAAAAGAAAAAAATACACATGTAATAGCATGGCTGTAAGATTATTAAATTATTGAACAAATGTATTTTGATCTAATTCTCGGATATAATGCAAATGAAATTTACTTGTATCTAACTAATTAATTGGAATCTAACTGTATGTACATACATATACACTGTATATCTTACTATATAAAAAAGATATATATTGTATAGAGGTTTACATACATATATAATAAAACCTCTATGATAAAAGATATAGAATAAAATGAAAAAGAATGGTCATGGAATATATCAATGATTTTTCTACTAGTCAACTAATTTCATCTTAATAAATGATTAAAACGAAAATTGATTAAAGCGAGACTGCATACCGGAAGTGTACTATACGATGCAAGAATAATAGTTATGTTTCGAACTAATGCTAAGGTGTAAAAGTATATATACTGATTATTATTATTGTTGTTCTTATTTACACAAATAACTATTAACAAAATATAAATTACCATTTCTCCCAATGATGCAGCAGTCATATGTATAAATGCATGATATTGTTCAGGTATTTGAGGTTGAAACATTACTTTTATGCTTTCATAACTTATAAAAAATAGGGAAGCTGCAAAAAAATATTTCTATCAGTGTAATGTTATTTTTATTTTTAAAATGTGTGTTTACCCGATGGTGCAGATCCTATCATTACAGGGCCCAAACCCTTGTATAATTGTTTAAAACCGCCAGATTTAAAAAAACCATGTTGACTTTGTAATCGTGTTTTAAGCGTATCCAAAGGGTATGATATGAAATCGCACGTAGTTCCCGCAAAGGCACCTGACTGTTGTGAAATAAATATTATTTTTCTTAAAAATATATGCAATAAATATTTGTTTAAAAAATTGGTTATCTCAATAAATTGTATCAAAAATAAATACAATTTTTATTTACAAAAATATCTATTAGTTACTGAGTGTAATAATAATAATAATTTCTAAGTTATAATATTTATTTCTTTGTTATAAATATTTATAAGTTTTTAAATAATGAATAAAATATATAATTATAAATTATTTTTAATTTTTTAATATATTTATATATTATATATTTTTAATATATTTAATATATTATTTTTAAATAAATAAATGACAAAAATCAGTGAAAAAGATTGAAAGAATAATTAATATATAATGATTATAGATAAAGTTTTATTATTACTATTAAAGTATTAAATATTGCATCAGAATGTGACGAATTTCCACATAGTATTGATAATCGAGACATGCATGCTTGATTATTCATTAATTATATAGAAGTTTACTTACAATTAATGAAGTAATGAAAACATTTCTCGTGACTGCAGTGGTTGCTGAATTATTTTCTTGTAACATTTTAAATTTTTTTTCTACAGTATTAACATTGTCAAGCAGAGATGGTAAAATTTTGAAAATAATTAGGAACTAAATGAAACATTTGATTTAACAGATAAATAAGAAAATCATCGTTTCTGTGATAATTTAATCATTGTAAAATGTCAATGTTAGAATGAAGGAGAACAATCAGAGATAATATCTATTTTAGACTTTTATCATTTTGTGTATGTTGAAATGAAGTAATGGTATGAAATAGAAAAAAATACACGAAAATTATCATATAACGACATCACTTCACAAATTAATTATCATTTACTTCCGCAACATTTTAATTCTATCGTGGTAGTCTGCTAGATAAGACCTAACCTTATCTCATATATGCCAAGATTCTATTGTTAAAGTTAGGAAAAAGCTTTTGTTTTGGAAACAGTTTTCCACTAGGAAGAAATAGACGAAGATGCTTGACAAAAAATTACTAGATACAATATATGTATATATATATAGAAAATTGATGTAATTACGTCATGAAATCCGTTTCATGCAGTATGAGGAAATTCTTGGCTTTTATATTTGCTATGTTCCGATTAGTCAGGATTGCGAATAAAATTACTGAAAAATGATCGACTTGATGTTTTAGGTACTGTTAAAGTGTTCACATAACCTTGAATTTCATTGATCATCTCTTTGGGCGGGAATCTCGAAACATTTATATCTTCATTTGATCTTTTATGAAAATGTCACAGAATATTTTGAAAAGCAGCTTGGAAAATGCTTCGTTCAATATTATATTTCAGGTATATACACCAATACAACAGTTACATTAAAACTTGTATATTTCATAGCAAGAAATATCGTTCTCTGCTATGTGAGGAAACTTACATCATATTTATAAATATCAAATGTACTGCTATTATTGATAATTGTATCTATATATATTTAAAAAACTTTGATTATTTCTATTAATATTTGATAATTTCTAACATGTCAAAAAATAATTCATCCTAATCAATAATTTCTAATATATCATATATCACAAAAATTAAGATTTATTGTGTAAAAAATAATTACAATAATAACTTTTTTCTAGATATTATGCAGAGGAGTCACTTTCGTTTTAAATGCCTTTGTTGTTCGGCATGTAGGTCAAGCTGTTTTAGGAGTCATAAATGTGAGACTATTATTATTGGAATCAATGATTTTGTTTCTATCTCGTGAGCCATTTATGAAAGCGTGTTTAACTAACACTGCAGAACACAATTGGGCTCAAGTTGTAAATTTATTATGGATGACGTTAGTTTTTGAAATTAATTACAGTATAATTGAAATTTATATAAATATATATAAAAATATACATAAATATATACATAGTAGATATTTCTTCCAGGGTTCCTATATGTTTTCTAATGTCTCTAATGTTTGGATATATTTGGCTTTCTGTTTTATCAGCATCTGAAGAGTTACCATCATATTATACATTTGCAGTTTGGGCAGTTGCTTTGTCTTGTATTATTGAATTATCATCTTTGATTGTTCAACTGGTTGCTAGTGCATTTTTATTTGTTAGATTGAAAGTAAGATTTTGAATTAAAAATATTGTGAGAAATTATATATTTATGATTAATTATTGAATATTTTCAGATTATACTTGATACTATCATGATTGCTATTCGCACTATAACATTTGTTCCATTGATACTACATAATCCAGAGAATGCATTGTTAGCATTTGGTGTAGCTCAACTAGTTGCAGCAATATTTTATACTACTAGTCATTATTTATACTTTCATTATTATATTAAGAAACTTAACAAGTGTAAGCTGAAAAGGCGAATGTCATTGAAAGATAGTAGTGACGAATATGTTGTGAAGGAATTTCCATTTAAAACAATAAAGGATTTTTTGCCTGGACAATTGGCAAATAAAGTATGTATTAAAACAAATCTACAGACTGTTATGTATTCAGACTGTTATATTTTAGGAATCATATTTAGATAAAAAGTTGACTGTTCTTATATGGAGCTTCTTTAGACAAGGAATTCTAAAACAAGTTTTAACAGAAGGAGAAAGACTAATTATGACAGTAATCCCTGTATTAACATTTACTGAACAGGTATTTGATAAATGATAGATATTCAATTCATTGAATTTATTCTTTTCTATTTGATTGTATTTTCATATGTTTAAAGGGAACATACGAAATTATAAATAATTTAGGTTCTTTAGCGGCAAGATTTATTTTCCGTCCAATAGAAGAAAGTGGGTATTTTTATTTTACCCAAATGGTAAAACGAGACAAATCAATTAATGACCAAAATCCTGTAAGTATTAAATAAAAGCTTGTCATGAATTTAATTATACAAATTATTAAAACAAAATCTCTTTTAGGTGAAAATACAAGAAAGTGTAAATGTGCTTACACATTTATGTTCAGCTGTAATGTCAATTGGTTTAGTTGTTTTAGTATTTGGACAATCATATTCAAGCACACTTTTATGGTTGTATGGTGGTGCTAAATTAACTTCACATTTGCCAGTACTCTTAATGCGAGCACATTGTTTAGCTATACTTCTTTTGGGAATAAATGGAGTAACAGAATGTTACACTAATGCAACGGCTGATAGTGTGACTATAAACAAAAGCAATTTGATTATGATTTACGAATCGATTGCTTTTCTATGCGCATCCTATTTATTTGCTATTTGGTTTGGACCAGTTGGTTTCATTCTTGGAAATTGTGTAAACATGAGTTTAAGAATTGTCCACTCTACTATATTTATCAATAAAAGATACAAAGATACAATGTACCGTCCATTACGTGGATTAGTGCCAAAGCCTATGTTTTCTGCTTCTCTTTTCATAGCAGCATTGACCACTAATATCTCTCATGTAATGGAGTAATATTTTTCATTTTTCCATGTATTAAGATAATGTAGCATTACAGTTTGAAATTTTTATGTTTCAGGCTTACTTTTTCCCAGATGAAAAAGTATTGCACTTAATTATTGGAGTCATAATGTTTATGATAGTACTTGTATCTTGGATATATGAGCATCATGATCTAATTAGACTTGGTACAAATAAATGGTATGAAAGAAGAAATAAACAAAAAAAAAGTGACTGACCTTAGATATGTTTCTAATGGTGGTTTATTGATATTCACTTGTAAATTATCTACAAAGGTGCTATAACGAACTCTTGTAAAATTTCATGATCATGTATTTTCTATACTGTTGTGATCAAAATCAAGTACAAGTTTTCCTATCTCAATGAAGAAAGAATATAAAAAAATTATTTATTTCAAGTTTATATAATTAACAAAATTAGTTAATTATTTTACATATAATTAGTAGTATTCATTTAAGTAAGTAACAAAATTATTTTACATAGAAATATCCTTATAAATGGCACCTACTACTGCACCTTGACGTTGTATAAGGCATTTCCTAAAAATAATTTATAATCTTTTTAATATTAATTTAATGCAAGTTTAAAGACATGTTGAGTTTCAGAGTTGTTTAATAAATTTGCTGATTAACAATTTTGTATGTTGATCTAATTTCAACAAAAGTAACAACAAAATAAATTTGTTAAATATTACCTGCTATCATTTTGAAGAGAAATGACCGGTGGTGGTGATTTAGGCTCCAATTTTGCAACTTGATCTGCAATAGCTGCAATTATTCCTGCACTGTCGGTAGATGCATTTCCTTTAGCTGAAAATATTTTTTTTTATCTTTATCTTTCTGGGCAATATCAAGCATTAAATGTAAAAATAATTTTAAAAAGTACCTCCTAAGCATAGTCCAGCATGGTCAGCCAAAATACAACCAATAATACCTTCTGTATTATTTCTATAAAAAAAAAAATATCAAATTAAGTAATTTTTTTAATTCTTACATTTCACATGTACTTTGAAATGAATTTTCCAAACCTGTTGCTTTGTGTCAACGGAAACAGAAATTAACAGAATGTCTCATATTTAGACTAATTTTAATGCATATTATAAAAAATTTGAAAGTACAAAATTACGTAAGATGCATACAATGTGGAAAAATATGTAAAATATCGTGTTTTCTCTGATATTTGGTACGTAAAATGATTTTCTGAAAAACCCAGGTTCTGTTTTTCATATAATTATAGTCTCGAAAATATGAATTTGTATAAAAATCTATAGTCTATTCATATCGAACGTCTGAATTATAAAAATTTGAGGGTTAAATTCAGTTGTATAACTATTGTATTTTTTGAGCAATGGAATAAACTTGTGTAAATGTTAAATGAAGATCTTACGTTTTAGAAAAAATTCACATTGACAGCACCAATTTAAATACAGACAAAATACTTTTTTCGTACATGAAAAAGATAGTTGTAATAAGCTTACATATCATCCAACGTTTTTTCTAAATTTTTTTCCATTTTGAAGCTCCAACCTGCATTACACAACGTACTTTGTAAGGATTAATTGCATTAATTATTGCATATTTATTAAAAAAATTCAATTTGACGTTTATCGTCTCGTGGTTTTATGTACATTCGTGAATTGTGATACTTGTAGCAACAAGTTTTGTCAAACCATTCGATATATCGCAATTGCTGCACATTCTCTATCGATTATCGTTTCTATATGGTGTCACGAAAAAAAGTATTCGTCGTTTATATATTTACTATTAAGTTTACATCGAAAATGAAATTTTACGATACAACGAGTTTATTAAGTGAAACAGCAACATATAAAAATTCTATTAACTTAATATCTCGTTTCGTTACAATTACGAAAAAATGCTATTCATTGAATGTAAATCACACTCGTCTACGAGTGAATAGATAATTTCATATTTACATGAAGTGACATCATATAATTTTCTGATTTTATCAAATAAAAATGATAAATGAATTTTACCATTTTTACCATTTCTGTCATTTTCTGATATTTAATTTGATATAATTGTTATCTTATTCTTTTTAATATGATATTAAAATACAAACAACTTTTTTTTATAGAAGGAAAGTTTTTGCGATGTGGATCGTCACCCAGTATAGATAATATCGCATCGTAAGCAAACTGGACGACGTGACTGGTACAGTGACAATCATGGCTGGTAAGTATGAGGGTCTATTTTGTCTACTCTCGTTTATTTTCAAGATAGAATTATCGAAACTCGAAATAAAATAAGAAACATGCACTATAACTTACTGTTTCAATTTCGTTTCTTTTTTATTTTACAAAAGTAAAACGTAAGGCGCTTAATTTGTTCTAACGTAAAATTTACGTGATATTATGCACCTAGTGGCCTAATTTAAGAATTTACCGGAGAAGATTATCGTTTTTAAATTCCTATTTTTTTCATATCATTTCCCCGTGACAACGCAGAGCAATCTCGAATCAGACGTTATTTCTATATGCAAATTAAAAAAAAATTCGATTTACGTCAGAGGTACAATGTGCCACTGCTTATAATACTATTATGACACCTGTTACATTTGACAATTACATGTAATATCTTTTACCCATTTGCTTGTTCAAAATGCCATGACAATTGAAGAAATTTGAAATAGTTTTCTTGACAGTTTTTAATCAATGCAGCACAATTTCCACAAATAAGTTAGATTAAGCGATCTATAATTAAGCGCCTAATTAAAACAATTGTTATGAACGAAAAATTAATTATTTGAAAGAAGTTTGGTGTGTATATGATATGGAATATTTTGTAGGAAATACAATGTATTTGTTTCATAATTTATATTTCAGTATTTATAATATAAAATTATATTGTCACGTTATTATTATATTATCATATCTTATTATTTCCTGTTTTAGCAAATATACAATTTTTACATTTAATACATTTTTAATGTGAGCGATTATTTTTAGAACAAAATCCATACAACCATTTAATGAAGTCCATTAAAATCGGACTTAAGGACTATAAATATTTTGATATTACAAATATTGGAAAAAAATATGGTATGTATCATTAAACAAATGTTACATTTAATCTTAGAGAATTGTAATTTTTAACATGAATTAATATTTGTAGACAGACTACCTTTCTCGATCAGAGTGCTTTTGGAAAGTACAGTTAGGAGTTGCGATAGTTTCCAAGTTAAAAAATCTGATGTTGAAAAGATCTCAGATTGGGAAGACAGTCAAGCTATTGAGGGTGGAGTGGAGGTAGCTTTTAAACCAGCTAGGGTAATATTACAGGTAAGTTTTTTTTTTGTCAAAAAGAACAATTTTCGCAAGTTCACTATTTTGTTGAATGTTTTATCATAAATAGGATTTCACTGGAGTACCAGCAGTTGTGGATTTCGCAGCTATGAGAGATGTTGTAAAAAGACTAGGATCCGATCCAGACAAAATAAATCCTATTTGCCCTTCAGATCTTGTTATTGATCACTCAATACAAGTTGACTTTAACAGAAGGTAAATTGAGTTATTTTTCTGTTTGATCAAATGCATCTAATTTAGTCGAAAAGTAAAATGGTGGAGTACTTATCAAATCAAAAAGATAATTCTGTAACGCGATTATATAAGACCAGCTCTAAATCTATTTTTGTTTTCCTTAGAATCAAAATGAACGATAACGTACGAATATTTAAAACAGCGATAATAGTTCCACATCGAGTAATAGATAACTTAGTCTTGATAAGAACATGATCTTCTTCCAGCAAAGATGCCTTAAAAAAGAATGAAGAAGTGGAATTTGAAAGAAACAAGGAACGATTCATGTTTTTAAAATGGGGCGCCAAAGCGTTTCAAAATATGTTGATTGTACCTCCAGGAAGTGGAATAATACATCAAGTAAATTTAGAATATCTAGCCAGAGTTGTATTTGACACGAATGGCTTGCTGTACCCTGATAGCGTAGTTGGAACAGATTCCCACACAACTATGATCAATGGTCTTGGTGTACTTGGTTGGGGTGTTGGAGGAATCGAAGCAGAGGCTGTTATGTTAGGCCAGGCAATGTCGATGTTAGTACCAAAAGTAGTAGGATATAGATTAGATGGAGTCTTGAGTCAATATGCGACTTCAACAGATCTTGTTCTTACAATTACTAAGGTAAAAGAAAACTAACGTGTTTAAAGGAATATTTGTAAATTCAGTTACAGAAGACTATTATATTTGTTTAATTACTTGTAGCACCTTCGTCAAGTTGGAGTTGTTGGAAAGTTCGTAGAATTCTTTGGTTCAGGAGTTTCTCAATTGAGCATTGCAGATCGCGCAACAATATCGAACATGTGTCCAGAATATGGTGCAACAGTTGGATTCTTTCCCGTTGATCAGCAGAGTTTAGCATATTTAAAGCAAACAGGTATACAAACTGTAAAAGAAAAAATCAAAAACTTGGCAAAATAACACTTCCATATAATACGATTTTATCTATGAAATTTTTTTTATAGGACGATCAGATGAACATATTAATATAATAGAGAAGTATCTTACTGCTGTACGTATGTTAAGAAACTATGACGACGAAAGTCAAGATCCTGTCTTCTCAGAAATAGTCACTTTAGATTTAGGAACTATTGTATCTAGCGTTAGTGGTCCAAAAAGGCCTCACGATCGAGTGTCCATCGTAGATATGAAGGCGGATTTCAGGAAGTGCCTTACTAATAAGGTAAGAGCTTCTTCAAGCTATTCTTAATGTACAATGTGTCTCGTGTCAATCTATTAACATTCATTGTGCAGAGCATTTGATCATGAAGTAACATGCAATAATGATGATCAGTCAGCACTCGTATGGGACAAACGTAACCCAGTGACGACCGATTACTACCGTCAAACAGGATCACGTTCATCCCATGCTGTACTTTCAATGATTAATGCGCTCTGTGTGCTTATTAAGATTTCTTCAGTGAAGATGAAGAAGGATGAAAGAATTTCAGACAACTACTGCTGTGATATGAATCTCTTACGGCGACACATCACAGCAAGAGTTCCTCCGGATTCTTTCATCTAGAAAAAAGATTTTGAAATATTCGAAGATATGATTACCTTTTCTTATGTTTGTCACAGTTGCCAGTTACATTTCCCGAGGATATGTCTCGTAGGATATTTTGCTTTACTGATCTAGCTTTATGGTTCTTTTAATTCGTCATACAGTTAGATCACCAAAGAAAAATAAACAAGACGGAAATGTTGAAACGTTGAAATTTGAATACATTTGTCGATAATTAATCTCGATATTGGAGACGTATTAAGGATGCGAATGTCGGTATTAGTGACGAGTATTTCGATCTAGTCACGATTTCTTTACAACGTAGCACTAGATGAATACTTCGTCCCCAACAACGAGAGTGTACGTTTCAGAAATATTTCTTGGTAACCGTTGAATATCGGAGACAGACATTGGATAAATTCCACCCGGTGAGGTTCCTTTTCCAGCCACACCGGACGAGATTTCATCCGACAACAGCCTCCACTATTATTCGTCAAGCATATAGAATGCTTTTTATAATTTCTTCGGTTGATTATTATATGACGAGAGATGAACACGAGTGAAATACCGGTAAAAATTAAAGATTGAAATATTAACGACAAATCACTAATAGATCAAGAACAATTCATCGTAAAAAAGAAGCAGTAACGATTTTAATTTTCACAGTAATATCTGTTTTACTGAAAATTAACTTTTTGGTATGTTTGAAAGTTGAAATCACTGTCTAATTTAAATTACGATGACTGCCCGCACTTGTACTGTACACTAATGACCTTTTCTGCTTGAATCGCGCTTATATATCCTCTAAAGGTATCCCCTCTCCTGTCTTCCTTCATCAAGCAACGATGACCATCCGCACAAACCTGGTGAACATTTCATGGACTTTTCCTACACCTCCCTTGACAAGTCAGGTAGACGAAGATTTTTCCATTAGCTCACTGTGCACACAACCTTCAGCTAGGATAAAATCTCATTGTTTTCAGGTATAGCCTCGAAACATCTGTTAAAACAAATTTACGACGACAAATCCTTGTAAAATGCAAGGCTTACTGAACAATTTCGTTTGCACTAGGATTCAATTTTGAATTATATTTGTATATTTCAAGAAGATTAAGTTACACAAAACAACCGACCAATCTTTATTTTTGAATAGAGCTATAAATCAATTCCAGCGATGATATATGAGCCTTTGAAAATGAACTGAAAAGAATTTCTTAAATTTGTGAATTTGAACTAACTGAATATGAATTGTGCATTTAGAAACATATTTTTTTTTCTTTTTTTCTTTCATTTTCCTTTGCCTGTGTGTCTATTTTGTACGTGCAAAGTATTTTTATATTTTTTTTTCAGCAAGTGTAAAAATTAAAGTGTAGAATAATAGTGATCAATTTCGATACAATTATCGACAATCCTGGAGTTTGTTGAATAGATAAGGATATCTATACTAAGCCTGGAATTAAGTTAAAGCAATGAGCCTTCTTGGCAAACTCATTGAACACATTTGCTACTTAGTTACTCATTTATAGATTGTTGTTTAGCATAAGTTGAATATAAATATACTTGAACTAATATTAATTGGATCATCATTGCTCAATAAGTAGAAAAATTTGATAAATTGTTAATAAGACAAACTTTTCAAAATATTATTATATTATTTTTTTCTAAATAGAGTAATATCTAGTGTTGCTAGTTTCAGAATGAGTCATGCCCATCTATATTTATGATAATCAATTGTATTGTATATTTGTTAATTATTGCAAGTATTAATGGTTTAGGAGCGACCATCAAGTTATAAATATTGGTTAAAAGCGATAACGATAATCGTGCGAACGTGATGAAGCCACATCGGACGCGCGTGATTTTAAAAACAAGGGACCGATCGATTTCTATTGAAAGATGTTCAACACTGGAATCGCATTACTATGTATGCTACCGCAGTAAGGAGGACATTTGCTGAAAACGCATCCACGTGAATCATAGAGAGCTGACTGTTCCCCTGTGTCATGAAATTCAACGTCCTTTTATCGTCAATTTTTCGGCTCAGCCTTGATGAACGCAGCTGAAGAATCCATACTTCTTTCTCAATAAAATCCTATGAAACTACAAAAAATACTAATACTCAATTGATGACTCGATTATCACGAGTATCATCATTATCAGAAGTCCTGAAATTTCTTAAAGTTCTTTAGAGAAATCCAACTTACAAATGAAGTTGATGACTAATATTTACTTGAAAAGCAACAGCCGATTTATTTGAAGACATTATTGGACATTACATTCACAATCTGGATCAAGTAACATCACAGAATTTTCATTGAATTTAATCTTACATATATTATTCTCAGAAAAGAAGAATCATTTTAAATCTTTATAATTGAAGAGGTTGCAGAGAACGTTTTCATATGATTGGTGATAATGATAACAAATGCACGCGCAATAAAAACCACCAAATAAAAAGAAAATATTTTATACGTACCGATGATCGATCGATCTTGAATTTCGCGGTGAGCACGGGCAACTGTCTTCGATGAGGCTACGAACGACGTGCAACCTCGCTGAAATTGCTGATACAACATCCATTCATTTTGCAAAGCTCACGCATTTTGTTGCATACCATCGTCTTATGTACAGATATTCGCGGTATCTTATATTGCAAACGATTGGTCTTATTCTCTCTGCTGAAATTATTTCTGTGAATTTGCCTTTCGTTCACGTGCACAAGAATTGAAAGGTTTCCAAAAGAAGGCAATTCCAATATTTAAATTGTATTTGA